GATGGTTGCACATTCTGGATCTACTAAAAGTTATCAAATCTTGCTCTTTAAATAGGTGTCCTCTATGTTAGTGAATTATATCTCAATATAGCTATTTAAGTGAATTTATGATCCAGATAATAGGGAAAAAACTGAAACAGCTTAAATATATTAATTTCAAACTGGTAGAATCAATGATGTATATCAAACCATATAAGATTCTGCAGCCTTTAAAAGGAAAATGAAGACTACACTTACTTATAGGGCAGCCTGCTAAGAATTATTTTTATGTGAAAAAAATAGCAGAATAGCATATTCTAGTAGTGAGGATATGAAGTGGAATAGAGTATGTGTATTTGTACTATTATTTTCATTTTTATAAAAAAGGGTATATATATATATTATTTGTATATCAAGTATGTGTCTTTTGTTGCCTAGATTATAATACATTTATTTATGTGCTTTTAAATCTAATTAATAATGATTTTGGAAACTTTACTTCCCCCTTCACTATTCATAGCCACAAATTCAAGATTCCTCTTGCTCAGTTTGTTTCTTTTTAATACTTCATCATAATTCTGAAGAAGGGCTTCCAGCATTCACACTTGCGAGTGAGCTAATTCCTCCTTCAAAGACATTGGGGCCAGACAGAGGTTGGCTGACAATAGCAAAATCCCTGGGGCTGAAGCAATGCGAACTGCTTGCCTGCTACCCAGGGATTCTATAAAACCTCCTGAAGAGCGTGAGTGGCAGGAATGAGACAATGAGTGGAGTGTCCGCCTTTCTTGTTCCACCTAGAGCTCCCCAAAGATGATTAGAAATCACTGTTATTTTAAAATATCTCTCTCTAAAGATCAGACTTGATTTTGAATAAAATTAGCATATTTTGTTCAATCATTAATTCACTCAGAATGATTTCTTAAGAGCCTATTACTTGTTACAACAGTGACTAGTTCATCACTATATTCTTATCCAAAGTTACCCAAGAGGCAATCAAGCAGATTGTTCACACATTGTTTTGGATTGATAGCAATTCAAGTATTTAGATTAGAAAAACAAAGAAGTTCTATTTTTGTAATATTGTTTATTTAAAAAAATTTTGAAAACTGTGAGTCTTGCTTTGTTTCTAAACATTCATACAGTCAAGATTTTAGAATTCAAAGGAATTACAGCTTTGATGCTCCTTTTACATTGCCAATGATGTTAATATGACCATCATCTTGTTGTAGTTAATAAACATCCTCATTAACTTGATATTTTAAATTTTTTATGTAAATTTCAGTTAAAATTTTAACAACCATAATTTTTTGTTTTTAAAATATATAATAAATTGAATCAGTTATATTTAATTCTAAATTCTAAAATTAGTAAACTTATGACATAATTTGTAAATATGAAAGTAAAAAATTAGAACTCAAAGGCTATAAATAATATATCAGATATAAAATTTGATCCTAATAATATAGAAAGTTTTCAAAACTGATTAATAATTTTAATGTCTTAGTTGATGGCTCAATTGATAGTAATTATTTTTGTGTAATACATTGGCAACTAAAATGTACAACATGCTGATTTTTTTTGTAGGTGAGACATAGGCTCCCTGAACAGCTGCAGTAGGAGCAAGAAGTAGTGACATTTACTTCAGCCTAATTTATTTCTGATGAAAAGATGATTGACTACATTTATGATGAAGTCCATGGCAAGAGTTACAGGAAAGGGTGAAATCATTCAGAAACACTAAAACTAAAAATTAAAGTAGCATATGGAATACTGTAATAAATCCCATGTAATTCATATTAGCATTGCCATTTAACTTGACAGAAGTTAGCTTAAATGACAAACTTATGAATACGAATGGGGAGAACTATGCTAATCTAATAGAAGGAAATCAGAGATAGTTGATTGTAAGATTGTATCAAAAGTGTTAGAATTTATATTCTAACAGAGTTGTAAAATTGACCCCAAATGGAACCAATTATTTTTACTTGTTATTTTTCTTGTTAGTAGCATGTCATGTTGCACGTTTACAAAAATGATTCAAATTTATTTATAAAATATTTGTTGGAGAGCCTCCTTGAGTTCCAGCATTGTTAGGGATAAGCTGAAGAAAAAAGCAGAGGTGATCCATCCATCCTTCATGGAAACCGCAGTCCAGAGAGAAGAGACGTGAGTCAGGCTTAAACGATTATAAAAATGAAAACATGGTTATTCCCTCTGATAAACACCATAAAGAAGAATTTCATGTTGTAAAAGGATTGTGAGCAAAAAGAATGACTAGCACATTAATGCTATTTTTAGTTGATATGTTTTATAAAATCTATTTTACTTCAGTTTTTTTAAATTCCAATGAATTGACATACATATACATAGTAAACAAAAATAACTCACTAAAGTCAGTCAGAAAATATCTTTGAACTGACATTTTTGCCAAGGTTTCATCTTGTTGATAATGTTTTCTTTTGGAGTACAAAATTACTCTGACTCGCACGCTGACTTTGTTTTTCCCAATATTTTATTTAACACAGGTTCAGTGTGGGAATTATAATGATTTCACAAGCCAATAGCATACAGAATAATGTCTTCTAAGCAACCAAATGAAATAACATACTGGCAAACCTCATTTTATTCCCTTTATTGTACTTCACAGATATTGAGTTTTTTACAAATTGAGGGCAAGACCCTCCACCAGCCAAAATATGATGACTCACTTTAGCATGATACTCAGTGTATTGCGGTGGTCCGAAACTGAACCTACAATGTCTGTGAGTTGTGCCTGCACTCCAAAGCAGCAACAGATTAACTATGCTATTGTTCCAGGCAAGGAGAGATAAAAAGAATAGAGTTCATATTTAGTTGAGGTGTATCTTTGTACAAGTCGGTACTCAGGAGACATGGCCTGGCCAACCAAGAGCTAATGTTCACATGCCCGTGCAAAAGGAAAAGTCCCTCGCTGCTACAGCACTTTGCTGGGGAATAATAGTGATATTGACAGGCAAGATGTTCTTTGCAGGGCCACTGCATGGTTTTCACCACTGCCAGTGAAACAGTCACCTTTGTTTACTGCAGTGGGAGCTAAAGCCTGACAGATCTTCACAGAGCTGTTGGGATCAGCAAAGGGTAGCCCTGGCCAGGACGAACACCTGGAGTAGTTTCACAGACTCTAGGTACTTGTAGTTCAAATCTACTCTTGCCATAGTTGCTTCTCCACATATTTTATTCAATAAGCCCCCACTGATGCCCCTCAGCAGCTGAGCTACTGAGTGCTCATCAGTGATAACAGACGAGATGATAACATCCTGACACAGCTCATTTTACCCTTCCATCAAAAAAACTTTCCTCTTGAAAACAGCTTCATTCTTAGGTCAAAACAACTTCACCATTAAAAGCAACTTTACTTTCTTGTCTAAAAAGTAGATTCCAAATCCTATCAAATGGATACATAACAGACAACAAACAAAATAAAAATATACTCAGTTAACTTTTGATTATTTGTATTGCAGGCAGATTTTTCACATTAACAAGGTAATTCTCATGATTACATTAAATGGAAACTACTAATGCACTGCTTCCCAAACAGCATGTAACTAACACTCAGGGGTACACTGAAGACATTAACGTAACAAATGTTATAAAGTGTTCACTCTGAATAAGAAATTCTGCCAACATGAGGCATCTGTGTGTAGAAGGCAGGAGGAGAGCAATGGCCGGAGCACAGCCGAGCAGCAGTGTCAGTGCATAAAGTAATGACTGTAATACGAGCAGCTGGGAAATGTTCCATCAGTGTTACAATGACAACCTGTAGAATTTTAGAGATGACAGAAACAACAATTTCATCTTGGTGGGCCAGGAGCAGCCAAGAAGTCTATGTGAAGGAGTTAATATAGTTCGTGACTTGGCACTTTAGGTGAAGAGAGGAGCAATGATGCATAGAAAGTGGCATGGACAAATTTATAAATTTGATAAGCTCAGTCTTTTAATAGTAATCTCATTTGGTTAGAGAAAAGTTAAGGTGCTTAGGAGGAATCACGAGGCTGGAAAGTAACAGAGGAATTCGATTGTCAAGAGGCTTTGAATGTAAAACTAAGGAATTTTAATTTAATTCAAAGGGAATTGTTTTTTTTTTTGTTGTTCATTATTTATTGGGGAAGAAAAATTAGACTGGGAGTATAATTTGTGAAAAAACATGAAGGAATCATTTGTAGGCATTTCTAAAATATTTCTTGGATACCTCCTACAAATGAATGCAAGTCACTTTGAGGAATACATATTTCTAGCAATCAACCTAGAAATAATCAAGTTCAAGCAGTTTTACCACAAAAATGTAACATAGACTGACTTGTTTTTTAAACTATTGTATTATTGTTCAATAACAGTTGTCTGCATATAAGCCCCACCCCCGCACCCCAGCCATCTGTACCTCCCTCCCTTGTTTCCATCCCCCCTTGGTTTTGTCCATGTGTCCTTTACAGTTGTTCTTGTAAACCCTCCTCCCTCTTCCCCCCATTATCCCCTCCACTCCCCTCTGGTTACTGTCAGATTGTTCTTAGTTTCAATGTCTCTGGTTACATTTTGCTTGCTTGCTTGCTTTGTTGATTAGGTTCCAGTTAAAGGTGAGATCATATGGTGTGGACTAACTTCTTGATCTGATGCTCATGAAGTTCAGATTAGACAAAGTAGAACTATGTTTAACCAAAATTTTAATTTCTTTACATGAAACTGACTCTTAGGCTTATGGAGGCTAATATATATTCAGGTTTCTTACTACTTTTAAGAAATTAATTTGGTTTCTCAGAACCACATAAACTGACTACAGCAACACGATTCACCCAGGGTCACATACTGTGCCTCAGACATTTTCAACATTTATAAACCCCACAGTGTGGTAATCATATTTGCCCTCTATTAAACCTTAGATGACTGTTTTATTTTCACCTCTTATTTTAAACCAAATTCCTGTTATTTCTATTTACGTGCCGGGTACTTTAACTTATATCGTGTTTTCTGACCTGTTTATAATCTAGATCCCAGGATTCTACTCTGCCTGCAGCGCCCTCCTTTGCTGCCCCTCCTGGTGGGAAAGAAGGGGTGGGCCCTGTGTGGACGCCCCGCCGCCCCGCCCCTGCAGCGCCATCCGTGTGCCAGGAGGGTGTGTGCCGCAATGGAGGCACTTGCCATCCCATCTTCCTCTCAGGGGGAGTGTTCTCATTCCAGTGTGACTGTCCACTGCATTTCACTAGCCGTTTCTGTGAACAAGGTAATCAGTCTTCACTATCCCTCTACATTTCTCGTGTGTGAGATTATTACAAAATGGTTCATAGTATCATACAGAACACACCAAATTACTTTTATCTCTGGTTATATATCTTTGTCCTCGTTCTATTTTTTAATTAAATTTATTGGTGTCACATTGGTTAATAGAGTCACGTGGGTTTCAAATATACATTACTATGATACATGATCTTTGTATTGCATTGTGTGCCCACTCCCAAAGTAAAATAATCTTTCATCACCATATATTTGCCCCCTTTACCCACTACTGCCCCCTTCCCTCTGGTGACCACTATGCTGCTGTCTGTGTCCATGTGTTTCCTTTTTATATCTCACATGTGAGGGAAATACAATTCTTGGCTTTTTCTGACTGACTTATTTGCTCAGTCTCATATATTTCTTTTTAAAAACTCTAGAGGGACGAACAGAATTGAAACCTGTTATAAACACATTGGTGGATATTAATACAAACAAGAAACATCTGTATAATTTTACCTAAAAATGAATTATGATAGAACATTTTCAACTGAATGATGTAGAAGCAAACCTAAGATTTTTAAATTAGGATTGCCATTCAAAATGTATTTTCAATTGCCACACAAATAAGAATTAAAATTCAAATGCAGTGTTATTTATATAATTTCTTCTACAAGTGGGGTGTATCTGTCCTTTGTCACCATAGAAATAATTAGGCTCTAACAAATACTATTTTTATTGCTTAATTGTTAATCAAATTACTGCTTTTATCTTTTATAAGTAGATCCCCACATTTAAATTATTTCAGTGTGTAAGAAAGTACATTATTTTTTAATGCTTAAGAACAAAATTTCAGCTTTAATGGAGCGGTTTATGAATGAAAAGAAAGTTTCCTTTTTTCAATGTCTAGTGGTCTCCTAAGAGTCTGTCAGTTAATTAAAGACATGCTGGGCACCTACAGCAAGAAACGCCCAGGGCAGATTACAAAGACATTAAGTTATGAGGCAGCTGACGGCATGTCCCTATACTAATGGCTGAAAAGTGTCATTGTTTCCCATGTAAAATTAATCACTGGTTTTAAATTGGGGAAGTGGGGATGAGGATTACTATTGGCTAATGATTCAGATGGCAGAGAATTTCATTACTTATTCAAGATTGTGTTAAATACCTCCTTTTTTTAGTATAGAACGTGGGGCCTCCAAAATCTGATTCAAAAGTACCTGTATATGTTGTTCAACTCCTCTTCCTAAATGACCCTGTGTGACTGCTGTGGATGTTTTAATGTTCAGCCAAGTAAGCAAGTAAACACAATAAGAAGCACAGAAATGAAAATACAGATTGTTTTTATGTTTATTGTAAAACATTGTGTCCTTAAGTCTATTATTTAACCATAAAATACTTTTGAAGACACATCAATATTGCTTAATTTGTGAGTGAATATTTTATATGTCTGTAAATATATCATGAGGCTTTTCTTCTGCTACTGTTGGAGAACATTTATATTACATTCTGTTATTAGATTTCTAGGGACAAAATTTGGGTTATAAAGGTCTTTTAAATCCAGTTTACCCATTTAAAATTCTGGAAGGTCAAAAGGCAGATCCATTTTTAATTTTGTAAGTATCTCCATACTGCTTTCCACAGTGGCCGCACCAATCTGCATTCCCATCAACAGTGCAAAAGAGTTCCCTTTTCTCCATATCCTCACCAGCACTTGTTTGTTGATTTATTGATGATAGCCATTCTGACAGGTGTGAGATGGTGCCTAATTGTGGTTTTAATTTGCATTTCCCTAATGATTAGTGGTGTTGAGCATCTTTTTATATGTCTATTCTGGGAATATATCTGACGGAACCCAAAACATTAATTTGAATGAACAGGAGCACCCCTGTGTTCATTGCAGTGTTATTTACAATCGCCAAGATATGGAAGCAGCCCAAGTGTCCATCAGTAGATGAGCAGATAAAACAACTATGAGATATTTACTCAATGGGATACTATTAAGCTGTAAAAAAAGAAAATTTTACCCTTTGCCACAGTATGGATGCACATGGAGAACATTATGCTAAGTGAAACAGGCCAGTGAGAGAAAGACAAACACCATATGATTTCACTCATATGTGAAATCCAATGAACAAACTGAACTAACAAGGAGAATGGGGACAGACTTATAGATAGAGAGCAAGATGACAGATAAGGAGTGGAGAAGGTTAATGAGTGGAGGGATGGAACAAAAAGGAAAAAGGACTCATGGACATGGACAACAGTGTGGTGATTGCAGGTGGGCAGGCAGTATAAAAAAACTGAATGGTAATTGAAAAAATGCAATAAAAATCTTAAATATTAAATTCTGAGTATTTTTCTTTCTTTAATTTCTTGCTAGGTAGAGTGTTAGAAAAATATCCTCTTTACCTCACTTCAAATATATTTTGATATTTTAATGTTATTTTTAATTCAAATTTACTGACAGTGGTGAAAATGACATTTCAAAAGGAAAAGTCTTTAGTTATTGTTTACATGTCCTACAAATGACCCTTTAGCCATAATTCTTATCTTTCCTATTAAATCCCCAGTTTTCCCTCCTAACTCCTTACTCAGTAGCTTTAATAACCAGACAGTGACCTATACTTTTCTTCAGAAAAGAAACAATTCAAGTTTGTTTGTAGTTAAATCCAAGTATTGACTGAGATTTAATTACTTTTGGTGTTTGGAATCACAGAATATAGGAAACTTGCCTTTCCTATGAATATAGAATCTCTGTTCTATATTCATTGTTGGATTTTATTTTTTTCAACATTATTATTCATTTTCTCTCTCTTATATTTTTAACTTTCTCCTGTTGAACATATAATATTTTTAAAAAGAAAAATTGGATCATAGTGTGTTGCTAAAATTAGGTAATCCAGTACAAATTATTTCTTTCTTTGTGAAAAGTAATCAGAAACTGTGAGTACATAATTATCACCAAGAGGAGAATTGTTTTCTTTTTTAATTGTTATTCAAGTACAGTTGTCTCTATTTTCACCCCACCATGCCACCCCATCCCACCCATCCCTGCCTCCCACCCTCAAATCTACCCTCTTTGTGTTTGCCCATGTGTCCTTTACACGTGCTCCTTGATGGGCCTTCCCTTTTATTCCCTATTATCGCTCTCCCCTCTGGTTACTGGCAGTTTGTCCTTTATTTCAATGTTTCTGGTTGTATTTTACTTGTTTATTTGTTTTGTTGATTAAAAATTTTGTTTTTCTTAAGAAAACTTTGCCAAGTGACATCTAAGATGTATGATGCACTAAATGAAATGTATGCAGTAAGACTCACTGATTATCAGCCATGATAGTATTACCTGTAACTTTGTTGTTCTTGCCTCCTTTGGGTGGAAATATTTCAATATAATATTTAGAATGTGATGTGATATGCATTTTTAGAATTGAAAATATTATTTCTAAATTTAAAAATCTTCAATATTTACTTTTAACCATTTACTTCCTAAATTAAAATTAACTGTCTTTCTTCTTTCAATTATAAAGAAAGCTGATAACTAGTTTAGATTCTCAATCTGATGCTCTAAATATAATTCATACTGGTATGTACCTTAGAATCCAGATTGACAGATAATGACTACTGCCTAAGGCCATGATTCAGGAATCAGCCACCATAATGAGACTTTTTATAGCATTATCCAGGTTGGTCAGATGACACAATTTCTAAGAGCAGATTTTAATAAACAGTATTGTGTGCCAGTTCCAACATGTTTCAACTACCTAGTAAAAATCTCAGTGAAAAAAATCTTGCAGTGGGTAAATAGTCCCTAAATCAATCAAAATTTCTCTCTCTCTCTCTCTCTGTCTTTCTCTGTCTCTCTCCCCTCCCTCTCTGCCTCCCTCCTTTTCTCTCTCTCTTTCTCTCTCAATGTTCTCAGTATTAAATTGCTTAGAATTTACTGATAGATTGCTATGAAAATTATTTCTTACCTGAGTCCCTATTGAGTACATTTAACATCTAAATTATATGAACTTGTGCTTCAGGAATGAAATTTGCATAATATCACTGTGAAGAGTTCTGATTTACCAGACACTGAACTGAGTGCTTCATGAATCTTATTTCAGTTAACCCTCAGAATAACCCAGCTGAAGTAAGCACTCTAAATTATCCCTTTTACAAATGAGAAATCTGAGGCACAGAATTGTTAATGTACTCATTCAAGGTCACACAGCTTAAACAGGGTACAGATTGGATTAAAAGCAACCTTGCTTGACTTCAGACTTCACGTATAACATCCACGTTCTGTTGCTGCACTAGACAAACAAATTTAACAGGGTGATATGACATGGAATTTTAAATGTTCTTCCCCTTTCATCTGCTTATAGAAGGTATCTTTACTGAAGCAAGAAAAGAGCATTTAAAAAACCTGAAATTTTCCAAATCAGAAAACCAAAGAAGTTAATGTTGATCTAATAAATTTTTTGTGAAGAAGGCATTATTATGATCCACCAGAAATCAAACTGAAAAGCTTATTAGATGCCTTTAAGAGAACCCTATCTGAGTGGATAGTTTAGTAAAACTAAAATAGAGGAAGTAGATTAAGATTTGAATTTCAGAAAAATGTAGACATAGATGAAAGAACCTGACTCTCTAAAAATACATAGATAGATAGGCCTAAATGTAAAGACATGGTGAAAATTGATTTTTTTTCTTTATAGCCTTGCTCCTTTTTATATTTAAAGTTAATTTTCTCAAGCTTGAAAGACTGTTAAAATATTTTATTTTACAACTTTGATTTTTTTCACAGCAAAATGGGGGTATAAATTAAGTATAAGTCTTAACTGAAATAGCACTAGATTCAGCAACAGAGAGAAAGGGTTGCCGGGGTAATGGGAGTAAGTAATGGGTCATCCTTACACATATTTCCTGTCAACTTAGCATTACATCATGTGCTCTACTTTATCAAATCATCCATATCCAATCACCTAATAACACTGACTTATAGAATCAGTTTGATTTAATATGCTC